GCAGAAAAGGAAACACATCCATGTCAGGTCACTGAACTACCATCTTTCCACACAATTTGATTACAACTCCATACTGACGTGAATGTGTTGCCTTCAGATATTGGAGGTGCATTTGTCCAGTTATCTATCCTTTCCCTGTGCCTGAGGGTTCTTTTGTTGGGATGGCAGTATTTCCCACTGGGTTTTTAATAGAGGATTACTTCCTAAACACTTGGACTGTAATACAATACTTAAAAGTAAGTGATTTTGGGGACAGATATGTTATTGTGATCTCCATATGTGAATATGCTGTATTAACAATATAGTATTTGTGAACCATAGATTACCTCACTCACCTTCCTGAAAGAGAGATGATGTGAAACGCGTTGAAGGTGGCATTATTGAACATTGGTGAAATCACTCATTAACATCTAGTGGTTAATACATATGGGTTTTGTACAAATAGATGCAATTAATTAGTCTTGCTCCTCAAGGCTCTGTTAATCCTCTGCCAACATGGGTGACTTGGTTTTATGAGTGTTCATGGATATTGTAATGTTTTCTATGTTAATAAAAGAATTGTACATTTTTTTAAAATTGGTTCAATGTATTGTAGTCTGTTCTCTCATCTCAACAGCCCTATCCAATTCTGTTTTGTGTATCTAATCTAATCTAATCAGGGTGAGATGAGACAACGTTTTTTTGGGAAACCTAACAATTTTATTACTTCTCTTCCAGGAACATGACAGATACTTTTGTTTTTATTTTACATTTCTATTTAAATTTTCCCCACATTTACATGCAGATCAAACTGTTTAGCAAAAATGACAGTGACGGGGTTGGGACAAACTGACAGGGGTGCTTCAGCAGTGGCAGCAACAGTTTTTTCTTAAACAGAATATTTCAAGTGTATTTCTACACAAATCTTTTATTTTTAGATATTGTGGGGAATAGTTAAAACCTATTTATATCTTTTTTTGCTGTCTAGCCATCTAGCCAGTCATTAATTGTATTAGCTACATTCAGTTTTTTAGGGTACAAGATATTTTTGCCATTTGTCCTTTAAGTTAGCTTGCTCTCTATAATACTTTTGTGCACATCTGACTTTTCATATAACTGTATAATTGTACCTTTTAAAAAATTGATGATTATATTAGGCACAACTTGTGAAGGCTGTCTATACAGAGAGTACATTTCATGGCTGACTGCTTTTACTGCTCCCAGAGCCTTTTATTCTGAATTTGCTTAAATATTCTCTTTTTAATCCCATGAAGTGACCCTGATATTATTCATGTCTTAGTGAAAGTTGCTTAGATTAGTCCTGCATGTACTATACTCGCAATAAGTAATTATATCGCCTCTCTGGTTCCTTTTTCTAATGTAAACAATTTTAATTTGGATAGCCTTTCTTAATTTAGATCAGCTTCCCTTAGAAAATTAAATCAGCCCCAGAGTAAACATGTTACCTATTACATTTCTGTGGATAATTAATGATTGTATTATCACTGGGCTTTCTGTAGTTCTAATCATATCTTGTAATAATTGCCTCATAATTGCTTAACTAACACATGTAAATTTTCAATTCCCTTTCCGCGACATACAAACAACCTTTCTGCTAGAAATAGTAAGAGGCATGATGGCTTAAATATTTTAAAACCTAGTATATACCTTATAAATATCTTACAGAACAATATAATGATCAGTATACATACATTTATTATATATATATATATTTAGAAAATGCATTTTGTATGGTGCCATTATTACTGAAAAGCTTCTATCAGAAAACATCCATTGAGGGACACAGAAATTCAGAACCTGTTGGGTTATCCACCTACAGGTGGATTGGAGACACTGAAAAACACGAAAATTGTGGGCCACTACAGTATCACCGTTCCTTTACCCAACATGCTTCTGCTGAGAAAAGTCTAATTATTTTGTTCAATCAAGGTTCCTGATACACTGCTGCAGAACTGTTCTCTCTACATAACTATATGGATCAGCTTTTCCTAAGCCTTATTTTGTAGTGTCATACCCTGACCCTGCTGAATTGAATATTGAGGGGCTAGCCTGGAATATGACCTTTGGGCACTGGACAGGTCTTTCCAGACCTGTGTGTACTGTAAATGTTAGCCACAGATCCATAGCTTTCTACAGCCCCAGGTTTGACCCAGTCTCTGAAGACTCACTTTGTGAGTAGGCCATGTGAGCCACTTTGTTACTATGAAAGCTGGTTGCCATTTTAAATTCCTACTTTACACCAGTTTTGCTGTTGGCTGAGGGATAGAGCACTGATGTCATCTCTTTCCCGCTCTTCACCTTTCTGCTGCTGCTCCTGGCTGCAGGTGACACGTAGAACCCTCCTAAATTCATCTCTGCTGTCCACCTAAACTAACTTGGTCCTCTTTGACCACCTAACCCTCTTCTGCTATCCAGCAGCTGAGTTCAGGAGTATTGAGGCCTAACCTTCTAACCTGAGCTATGATGTCTCTGCATTGTGGTGCAACAAGTCAGATCCTAGACCCATGGGGGACAGTCCTACTGTTCTGGGTGCTTCCAGCTCATGCTTCACTAATGGTTCTGGTGCTGCCTGCAGTTTGCCCCCTGAGTGACTGACACCAATAGCCTGGAGCTTTGTCCTCTAGTGAATGGGGCGGGGGATGTGTCACAGGTTGCTAAGATGCAGGCAGCTGCTAGCATTGTTCAAGAAACAATCCCTCTTTGGAGCTGTCCTCATCAAGGATGTCACTGAGAGGGAGAGTACCTATCTGCCCCAATATATGAAGCCTAGGGATCATTTTAGGAACACTCATTCTTCCTTGGAGGACAAGAACTCTTTCTTTCATTGCTTTGAGGCCTCATTCTCCAAAGCTAGACCCACAGATGATCAGATCCCTGTGTAGCCCTTGTGGGTCTTCTGGAGCAGCGTGTTGTTACCACATTCCCTGTGATTTCAAGGTTGTACACAAACCTTTTTATTAAGCCCACCTTTGATCTCAAAGCCCTAAATGTCTTCGTTCGGGTCCAGAAATTCTGTATGTAATCCACCAGGTTTGTCATAGCCTCCCTTTATCAGACTTTCTGACCTTTGTGTAAATCAAGAACACGTACCTGCATGTCCTGTTTTTCCAGTTCGTCAGCTGTTGGGTCCCCATCATTTGTAGTTTGTGGCACTGCCACACGGCCTACCTTCTTTCAGAAGATAGGCGATGCACACAGCGGTGCCATCCAGTGCAATGCAGAAAAATGCAGCATGTCACTGTATATCACACCTGCATTGTGATGTGAAAAGGGCACATAGAAAACAAGTGTCATGGTAAATGCAAAAATCTTTTTATTATAATAACTGATGCCAACTTGATATATCTGCTAGTGTAACTGGTATATTTTTGGTTTGATTAGTGTCCTCAATGCTATATTCTGGATCAAGTCAAGCCTGCAGGGTGTGATTACCTTTTCTGAGTTTGCAGTTCTTTGCTGAAGTATGTAAACGACTTTCAAACACATGCCTGTTTTCTGCCTAGTACTTATCCCCATCTGCAGTGGTCTATGAAAGACTAGGGGTGGGTGAAGCTTTGTTCAGGGTCAGATTCCTTTCGTTGGACCCTATAGGCAAGCAACCTTTAGCCAGACATCTCAACTCTCCCGGATGTTCCTGGAGTCTCCCGCTATTAGATAGCGCCTCCCGGACACCTGGGAGAGAAACATTTTCTCCCTGAACGGTTTACTCTGCTTTCTCTAGCAGAGTAAACCTTTATCTACTTTGTTTTGTTTTTTTCTTGACATCGAGGCCGCCGGGCCGCCGTGAGTCAGAAAAAAATAATAAAAAAACGGCATAGGAAAGAATAGCTAGGTTGCTTTTGCAAATTGAAATAGCCAATAGCAGACAAGTTATTGCACCTGCCCACTGCTGCTGTCAATCAGCAGAGGTGGACCTGAAGTTCTCCATCAGGTATTCCTTTACTGACTAACAGCAGCAGAGGGCGGGTGCAATAGCCACCTTGCTATTGGCTATTGCAAATTGAAATAGCCAATAGCAATCTAGCTATTCATTCCTGTGCTGTTTTTTTCTCGTTTTTTTGTATTCTGACGACAGCAGCTGCCAGAATACAAAACAAAACAGCAGATAGCAAGGGAAGCATTAGCCATCATTTCAGGGGGTTTCAGGGACATAGGGCACCTCCCTGAAATGAGAAGGGCACCTCCCTGAAATGACTTATTTTAGGTTGGGATCTCTGCCTTTAGCACTCAAAGCAGCATCCTTTTACTAGAATCGCCTCTATATTATGCTTGCTTTATTAGATTAGAATCTTGTGTAAATAAGCTTAAATATGACACATTTGTTCTGTTGATGGAGGGTTAAAAATGTGAAGATGACAAAGTTGAAAAAAATATATAGTTAAAAAAAAGCCTTTGCAAACTATAGGAGAGAGAGTGATAGGCATTAATAGATTTTTTTTACATATATAGCCAAAATAGCCATATAGCTCTACAATATTTTCAGTACAGGCATGGGAAAGTGTGTGTACTAGCATTATACTAGTAAGATATAATATATAAAATTCACATAGCACCAACAAATGTCACAGTTCTTTATAGAGAACATTGGATCATTCACATTTGTCCCTGTCCCTGTAGGAGGTCGCAACATTTGCCAGACATGTACACTAGCACTACACCAATATTAGTGTTCTATTTTGTTGTTCCCACTATATTTTGCATGCAGTTCATAGTATAGCACAATGCATTTCTTTACAAATAAAGATCTGTCTGTTACAATATTACTTGACATCTAACCTTATACCCTGAGCTATGATGCTAAAAGCTGTTTACCATAACAATCAATCAAGTGTTAGCTTTCATTTTTTCTTGTGCATTAAAAAAAGTTGTGTTTTGATTGGTTGTTTTAAGCACCACTGATGTTTTGTTACCTATCACTTATCTTTTCTTATAACCTAATCCCAAAATTGCTGCTATTATTAAAAAAGACAACTTAACACAATTATTTTCTTTATCTGCAGACATAAAAAAGACACCTCCGACATCAAATGGCGTTTGGAGCCCCAAGTACGGTGCACCATTCCAACAGCATGTTCCATCCCTGGACTATCAACATAATGTATATATTCCGGGGACGCCGACGTTATTAGCCAACAAAGGTCACTATATGGATCACGAAGAGAAAAACAGTTTTTCCACCTTCGGAAAAAAAAGGAAAATGACGTCACGTTGTGATGTACATGATGACATGATCATCCAGAATGAGCTAAAATGAGCTGGGCTCAAAAAAGACATCCCAAAGTGTAAACCACAGAGCCAATGCCAACCATCTAGAGGAGAACTGGGACCTCAGAGGTTAATAAACTGTGTCATTACTATGCCAAGAACACTGTCTCAACTCACCTACCTGACGTCTGTTTGTGTGCGATAATTCTGAAAACACAAATGGTGACAGGTCCCGATCTATAAAGTGCAACGGGACAAGGAGATCTAAAATTAATCTGTAACACTTGAAATGAAAGTACACTTGGTGAGGTAATGAAGGCGCAAAAGGAACGTACACAGAGACAATGAAAATAAATGACAGTGAAGCACTGTGTTGGGTAAATGGACAGGATGCAATTTCATTTGGTAAAACAGATTCAATGTGGGTGCGAATGAAAGTCGCCTGTGTGTAAAAAGCAATTTTCTCTATCTGCAGTCAAGCGAAAGACTTCCTTGAGGACTGGAGAGTGAATGAGAGGACATCCTTTCTGAAATGTCATTTTGAGTTCCAGCCTTTGGCAATTTCCATTTAGTGACAGTTCTGTCTTTCATTGTTAATATGTGAATGTACTCAGTGAATATATACATTTTTTTTTGTTGAGCTAGCGTGCGTGTTTCTGCAGAGCAAATGAAGGGTGTGCGTATATGTCCAAATTATATTTACATATAGTCAATGTTCAACTAAACACGTTCATTGTGGCTTCACATGCAACACAATCACCAAACAAGTGTAAATAAATGTATATGCTATTTTTCAAATAACACTTGTATTAAAGAAAACTACACTCGCTGTGATGTTTAAAGTTACTATGTTAAACATATGGAAAGCTTTTTCTTTCTGTTTCTAGATGTACGCAAGAGTTGCAGACAGAGATGAACAAACTTAAAAATATGCTGTTTGTGGATCTCTGAGATATGCGTCAAATCCTGATCCAGCATGATAAGGTTACTTGTCTCTTCCCGTTACAATATGGAGATAATACGAGGTGGAATTAGAGTGATTGAGCAGGAATCTGTTTCATCTGACATTCTATTTTCTAATTAAATGCATAAAAAGCCAGTAGTGTAACTTGACAGTTAAAGGGTCAGTCCACTAAAAAGTGATATTTTAGTTACAAATAACCCCTGGTTCCTTATATGTCTAAGGTATTTTTCACCCATCCTTGTATACTCTAGCAACTCCTGATACATTCTGTATTATATGACATAACGGAAACAGTGTGAAATCTTCATGACCACAGTTAACAAGCATTCAAAACTAGGGAATCAAGTGCAGAGATTCCACCAACAGAGCCAAAAAAGGTGATAAGAATCAGAACAGTGAATTAAATCTTCAGCATCTATGAAAAAACAAAATATCAGTTTTGGGTGAATTGACCCATTTAAAGCATGACTGTGCTTTTTGCATACAGGGCCTTCACCTTTATATCCTCCTTTGCCAATTACCAGCTCATTTTTATGAGAGCAAATTAAAGTGACAACACTAATTTAGAGATGATTTGAGGCTCTACAGCTGAGTGATACACAAATAAGCTGCATTTTTGTTAATAGTTGGAGTATGAATGTATTTTTAAGATTTAATTCCAGAGTTTAGTGTCACTTTAAGCCACATGCTCCTCCATACTTGAAAGTACTGGGTATTTGCTTTGCTCTTGGTGGCTGAACGGAGTGAAGGAAAGGTGAGTATGTGTTGCTGAGGAGGAGGGCATTAAAGCAAACCTGTTGATTTGCCCTGAGCCATGGGCCAAGAACAGGTTTACTATAAAGCGAAACTCCAGGCAAAAATCACAATGTCAATATTATGACCTACATCTATGTCCTGCCTTACTTTTTTAACTGCAAGTGGTTTCCATGTGCACAGATCAATATGGCCTCCTCATTCTGTAATATTGAACTAGCGGTGCTTAGCTATTAGATGGGTGATCATAGGCAAAAATGGCTGCCAAAGTTGTGCTTCCTCTGCCCCCGCCCCCCACACACAACCTTAGCCTGCTGGATAGGCAATGAAGGAGCTGCAGGACTCCAATAAAGCCATACTATGTTTATCCTGAAAGAAAGCTCCCGCTGACAATACTGAGCAATGCAATACAGCCTGAGTGGATAATCTGCTTCTCTCTCTTTTATTCCTGGTGTGCAGGAGACAATGGGAATATAATATCAAGGCTGGTACTTATACCAGATGTATTTAAAATATGTTTTTAATTTTCTAATTAAAGAACAACTAAATAACGTTTTGGTTTTATTTTCCTTCAGTTGCACTTTAAATACTCAACATTGTGAGCCTGTAAATATTTTATTGTTTCAATGAAAAAACATGACTATAAATGACAATGCATACTTCCACTGGTTACACCCCAACATTATACTCCCTGAAGAATAAAGAGGGAGAAAACTGTAAGCCACACTGAGTACAAATGAGCACTAAAGGAGATAACCCAAAAATAAAAATGTTATCTATTGCAACTTAGCAGTGCAAAGATGTGTTGGCTGCATTAGGTTAGCAGAGATGACCTGGGCAGGACTGATAACTTTGCTTGTGATAACACTGCAGAGTGCACAGGATTCAAGATCGCACTAGATTTCTGACACGATCAACAGCTTTTTTTTGCACATATCAAACAGATAAAACAAGATGCTTTCAATGGTATATTAAAAAGAAGAAAGGGGAAGAAAATAAGTTAATTTTTAGATTCAGCTGGATTAGTGTTTTGCTTTCTGTACCTCCTTGCACCGTTTTATCCGCATCACATGGACTTCTACAGTTTTACCTTCCAGCATTTCAACATCCCTCTTTTGTAATTGAGGATGGAGAAGGACCCCCATGGAACAGAGCATCAAGGAGAAAAGGCAAACACCAACACCTGCCAGATCAAGGTATAAGTATTACACCTTATTTCCTCTACCCCATACTTTACCCATAAGCATTTAACGCTTTCTGGGAAGGGGGAGGTTGAGTGGGGGGTAAGTCCCATTGCAAGGATAATTTTTGTATAAATCCTGCAGTTGGTCTTTAAAATGTGTTGAAACAATTTGACTGCAACCACAGAGATCTATTCAAGTGTCTTTAATTGTTTTGGATATATTGGGGAAATGTTAAAACTCCAGTCAGGTTTTTATAGCCAGGTCTCTATTTCTTGATGACCATTGCCACTGGGACATAAAGTGTTGGGAGATGCAAAGCTTTACAAATGACACTGCAATAGGAATAAAGGGGAAATCTTCCTAACTGCACACTTCTTGTGTCTTCAGAACAGGAAGTAAGGTGATTTCCCTCTCTTAAGAGAGATTTCCTCACACTTCCTGTTTTGTCTCCCGAACAGTTGGGGAAGAAAAATGTACTAAATGGAGTGGAAAAAACAACAAAAACATTCCCTCAACGGAATTGTAAAGAAGAACTCCAGACAAAAACATTTCTTAACTCTTGCATAGGGGGTTCCCCTGCACTGCAAGGGTTACATGCTTGTTTTGGGCTAGGTGCAAAAATAACTAAGTTATACTCACCCGAACCTTGGAGCCAGCTGTCTGTTACAGCCCTCCCTCCAGCCTCTCTCCTGCACTGCAGCAATGGAATGTCCCTCAGCATCCTCATGACCTATAAACACTCTATAGAACGTCATTACTCAGGGACCTTAGAATGCTGCAGCTGATGGGGAGAGAGGCTGGAAGGTCTGGCCTAACAGCCAGTGGACTCCAAGGTTTGGGTGAGTAGAATGTTTTTTTTGTGGTTTTTTTTTAGCCCCTAGATGAAAGGTGGACGTCTATTTCTGGAAAGACGTTTACAAAGATAATTTCGGAAATAGCCCTTGGGCATCCAGCCTCCGGCTTGCTCAGTTCACAGACATAATGGGAGTTAAAATAAACTGTCTGAAACAAACTTTGCCTCAACCGGAGTACGTTTATCAGCTTTTACATTTTTTTCTAAACTGTTGGGAAATTAAGATTGAAGCTGATTGGCTGTAACATCCCTCTTTTGTAATTGAGGATGGAGAAGGACCCCCATGGAACAGAGCATCAAGGAGAAAAGGCAAACACCAACACCTGCCAGATCAAGGTATAAGTATTACACCTTATTTCCTCTACCCCATACTTTACCCATAAGCATTTAACGCTTTCTGGGAAGGGGGAGGTTGAGTGGGGGGTAAGTCCCATTGCAAGGATAATTTTTGTATAAATCCTTTTTTGTGTTTTTTTTTTAGCCCCTAGATGAAAGGTGGACGTCTATTTCTGGAAAGACGTTTACAAAGATAATTTCGGAAATAGCCCTTGGGCATCCAGCCTCCGGCTTGCTCAGTTCACAGACATAATGGGAGTTAAAATAAACTGTCTGAAACAAACTTTGCCTCAACCGGAGTACGTTTATCAGCTTTTACATTTTTTTCTAAACTGTTGGGAAATTAAGATTGAAGCTGATTGGCTGCTATGGGCAATGGCACTAGTTGAGGTAGAATTTGTCTCAGACACTCTTTATTAATTCCCTCCATAATGTACAGAGCCGATCTGAGTGGTCTAGTACCATGTGATTGCTCTGATGACCAATCGCAGTGATCACAAATCTAAACAGTACCACTGTTTACATCTGAGAGCCAGCCCTTTCCTCTCACAACACATGAAGGAAGAAAATATGAATGAGAGATCATTAATTGGTTGCTGCACCGGCTGCAGCAGATTCAGGGCAGGATGGGGTGTTGACTTTGGGATTGTTACCCTCTTACTTCCCCCTCCTTGCCTGTACAGCTGATCTGCACCACCTCCCTCTTTGGAGGAACTGTACATTTAATAATTCACTGTTTCTAGTCCATGCTCAAAATGTGGCATAAATAAGATCACCTTGGGGGTCGGGAGTCTTCTTTCCACAAAGGGGACAATTGGAGGGGGGTTAGTACTGCCCTGGCATTTTTGTGCTATGTTTTATAACAAAGGTTTTTTTAATGTTTGGTCTTTTTTCCCCCATTATGTAGTAAAAATAAAAACCCAGTAGTTATCAAATGCCACAAAAAGAAAGCTCGATCTGTCTTAGGAAATGTCATGAAATTATTTTGGGTACATTGTTGAATGACTGAGTAATTGCCAGTCAAACTATCACAATACTGAAAACCAAAAAAATAAATAAATGGATGGTAATGAAGGGGTATTACAGGCTGGTACGCAAGTGGTTAAAATAAGATGACATTAAATTGCTAATAAATAACATAAAATCCAGCTGGCAATATAAGTGTACAGGAGATAACACTCAGTCCTTATGATTGAACATGAAAAACAATTAGCATGAAAAAAATAACACTTGATAAAAGTTGTGGCATCATTGGTAGACTGGATTGCTGTGGGTGACACTTTTCGTCCTGACTGGCTGGATAATATAATTATCACTGACACATTTTCACAAATATGTCAGCAGCAGACTTCCGAACACAGCCCAGACCCATGGTGTGATAATCATCTGTTTTATGTTCTGTTTAATTAATTGTTGTTAACCTCATTTGGCATCATTGATTCTACCATGTTACTGTAAAGCTCACACTTATTATGCCCAAAGATGTGCTTATTATTATTCCAAGTTATTTAAAGTAGATAAAAACCCAAACACACAAATCTCACATACTCTTTAAAAAGCGTATGCTATTTTAAAAGTAATTTCAATCTTTTTAAATCTGCAGCTTTCATCCAAGCAATACCTTGTGATCCTGCCATGGAGGTCCTTGTTCAGAATCCCTTTCTAGTATAGGGTGACAGGAACAATGCACTGTCACCCGAATGTGCGACTGTGCTGTTACCTGTAACATACAATTCTATGTACACTATAGGAGGCTGTGGGCAGGCATGCTCTGCCATTGTCTGCCACAGCTTTGCCCTGAGCAATTTCATGTAGGTGCTGCTGGCTCACATGCATGTTGGGGAAGTGCCATGAACGAATGGTGAACAGTTGTAGGCGGAAGACGCTATACAATACAATGACATCTGCCAGTGCAGGCAGCTTATTGCATGTAATTGCACATGCTGCAAATACCTGGAGATGATCTTCCCTGAACACAGACTGAGTCCAGGGGCGATCGCCCACAGGTAATTGTAGCATGAGTGATTACATGCAAATGGCTGCGGACAGGGCCGGA